GGCTTCCCAAGTAAGGCGTGGTATGGCCCTTCGAAGTCGACGACCTCGAAGGAGAGTATCTCCTTGCGATAGTGTATCGCGTCGCCGAATGTGACCTGGAGGGCGATGGTGCCTAGAGGCATCACACGTTGGCTCGGCATGATTCCATGGAATGGAGACTGCGAGGCGTGTAGCTTCCCAACGTCGATCTTAAGCCTGTCGAAGGCATCCCTACAAAGGATGTTAATGCCGCTGCCTCCATCCATGAGGATTTTCATCGTCCTCACGGTACTAATCATCGCGGTGACTACCAGAGGGAATCGACCGGCTTCGATGACGTGATCGGGGTGGTCACTTTTATCGAAGGTGATCGGCCTTTCTGACCAGTGTAGGTAGAGTGGTGTAGCGGGTGTGGCGGTGTAAACGTTCCTGTGCGTCGTCCCCTGGCTCCGTCGATCTTCATAGGCGTCGAGTCCTCCGAAGACGAATGTGATGTCATCGACGTTTGGGAACCCTCCTTGATCACAGCCGTCCCCCTTACGCCGCTTGCCCTTGTTCGGGTGGTCCCTTTTTGCTGCCTTCTTTTCCTCTTCTTCTATGAGCCACTTTCTATAGGCCATGCAATCTTTGGTGAAGTGGGGTCACCCGAAAACCATGGTTCTAGCATGGCATGATCTTCTCGAACCTGTCTTTGTTGCTTGGCTTTGGCTCGATATTGGACCCAGCCTTGCGTTCCTAAGCCCTATCGGGAGGGGTTTTGATGACTTGACGAAGCCAACGAGCATGAGCCGCAGTTGCATTCCTAAGCCCAATGGAGAACCTAGGTAGGACATAGTCGATTGCGGTGGTGGATCCGTGTCATCGGTCCGACGTGGATCTTCCCAAATCTCAAAGGCAGTGTCGAGGAGGTACTACTGACTAAACTTGGCGAAGGCTTCCTTGGCGTTGAGGTTCATGTGGTGGGCCAAGGCGACCGGCCCTGCCTCCGCAGCTTCTTCTAGATGGGCGAGGAACATGTTGATGGCGGACGGAAGCTTCTCCTCCCGTGCGGGTGGTTCAGGGTTCTACAGGTGCAAGTTCCTAAGTTGTTCGGCAACGGAGTTCAAGTTGCTAGAAACGGTCTCGTGGTCTGGTTGTGTCTGGTCGGCGTCGGCGTTGAACTCGACGATGAAGCGCCCATCTGAAACATAATGAATCTGTACGCAAAAGGCCCCTACTCGGAGCGCCAACTGTCGGAGGAATTAACTCTGGCAATACCGATCAGCGTATTCACGTATAGGGAATTAGATGGGTAGCACACAAGACACAAGGATTATACTGGTTTAGGTACATGGTACCCTACGTCCAATTTGAAGTGAATCTCTCTGTATTCGTATGCTCGGTTACAGGGGTGCTGATTATAGCTATGCCTAGAATGTAAAGGAAAATAAGATGACAATCAGGGGTCCCTACCCCTCCTTATATAGTCTGGGGGGTAGGGTTACAATAGATCCGATCAGTTAACAGATGTGTTTCCTAGTTTGTTACATGGAAAATACAACATATGGTTTAATTGTATCCCACGGATACCGGAATGCCGGCTCGCTACGCTTGATGACTTGATCTCCACGCTTGCTGATACACCTGGTGTTTTCATGGGGCTCATTCCTCATGGTGTTCGGCCCAGTGACCAGGCGTCGGCCGGAATACAGGCCGTGAGGTATCCCGGTCCCACATATTCGACAGCGTACTTGTTCCCGACAGGGTCTATCCTTGTAGTGTGGTTGTCGATCCTTGTCACGGGTGTAATCCGATGACCTCAGTTGAACATGACATGGCTAGCAATAGGAGCTTAGAGCCTTAGCATTTGACACCGGTGTGGTATGGGATGCGCTTCATCATCTTCGAGTTTTGGGTGTTAGGTCCTCAGTGTTTGGCAATGACGTGGTATGAGACGTGCTTCGTCAACTATATAGGTTTTGTTGTTGTGGTTTGGTGAAAGCTTGCAAAAGTTGTGCTGGTCTCTATGCCAGCCTTGACATCGATAGCGCCTTTGGTCTCTTAAGTGGCCCACCTATGTTTCCGGAGGCCTAGCTGGTACCACGTCTCGGTCCACTACCATCCTTGGATTCGAAGTATATAATAGAGAAAACCCTAACTAACATCACATTTTTCTCACCACACCCAGCCATGGGCCGCACACTTCTCCCGTCCCTTTCTCTGTCTGTCTGCTTCACCCCGTTCTCTCCCAATTGCCACTCCCCTTCTACCTTCCCATCACCCACTGGGAGATCAAGCTGGAGGCACGACACATCTAGCAGGAGGCATGGCACATCGAGCCATGCCATGGGTCTTCCCCCTCCTGGCCATGGCGTGTGGGCTCTCCCCTTCCTATTGGCAGTGTGCGGGTGTGACCCCAGTCCACTTCCAATGGTGGATGTGAGGCGAGAGCGATGTGTGGCAGCCCGACCTAGCCGAGGGCTAGGTGTAGCGGCACGGCCTAGCTTCCTCTCCTCTCAATTTTGCTCACAGGCATGGATGCACCTCTCAACCTCGCTCTTTCCCTCTTCTCAATCTCTCTCTCTCTCTCCTCACAGGTACATGGCGCGAGGAGGTGATGAGATAGGTGATGAAGCGGCGGGGTGGGGCAAGGAGATGACAACATGATAGGGCAAGGAGGTGGTGGTCCATCACGGTCCACGACGCGACGGTGGGCTTGGCGGTGAGTTTGGTACTAGGCTCGACAACAGGCTCATCGATGGGCTCAAAACTAGGCTTGGCCTGGTCATTTTTTTTTGTATTTTTACTCGATTTTCATAGACGGGCATGCAGCGTCTCTATCCACTACACCACAACACCAAGATTAGCGATGGACGGTCTGACGCTAAAAGCGGCTACAGCGACAGACAATCTGACGCTAAAAAGTTATAGCGATAGACTTCTGCAGACGCTGTAAGTCTTGTCGCTAAAAATCTTAAGCTTCAGACAGTACTTTTAGCGTCAGACAGTCCGTTGCCCTGAATTTTTTTAGCGACGAATAGTCTGCTGCTACTCTTTAGCGTCAGATAGCCTGCCAGTACTCTATAGCGACAGACAATTTGAAGTTACAAATGTTTTTAGCGACTGATGGTTTGACGAGATCATTTAAATGCATTTAAAAAAAATAAAAGGCCATTTGGTTGCAAATTAATACAAAAGTAACATCATTGTGCACATTTCTCATACAAATAGATTCATTCATGAACCTAAAACATAGATCCATGACCAGATAAAGTTACTATGCTTCGGTATGATGTATTATTACAAAAGTAGCAATCACTCCATTTTAGATGCATATAAACACTGCTTTCAAAAGAAGCAAAGTTAGATGCCTATAAAAAATGTAAACCTGCACAATCAACAAGTCTATACTCTTTCACTACAGGATATAAATACTATTGATTTCATCTAAGTAGTTGACTAGATGAAAAGCATAGTATATTTGCTCAACTAATGCCAGGTTGCTTCGAGTTAGATAAGATGTTTCGCCTTCTGATCGGTAGGGCATCATCTTCCACTGCTTCTATACATAAGAACGATCTGTTGAAGAGAGAAGCAACATGGATCAGAATTTTGGGTTCGCGGAATCCAAATGTACCGAATTGCAACTTATCATGGCCATATACTAACAAAGAACATAAGAAAGAAACTACTAGCTCGATAGCACCAAGTACAAGTGGGTCTCTGAAGATGGTACAGAATGCATATGATACAGGTTGTTGGGATGTAACAGATCTTAGAAGTAACCCACAGAGTATCAGACTTCTTGTTATGTCGTGCCACAGCCAAACTACATAAGGTGACCAGACCAGCTTCTGACAACCAACCTTGACGAGCAACAAAGCTAACAAGATGGCATTCCTCTTATGGGATCATTTGTAGTTGACTAGATATAGTAGGTCGCGAACAAGAAAAGACACATCTACGGATATAGTAGGTTCTGGGTCTCTTAAGAAAATTGAAGATTACCTCTACATCGACCTTGTAGGTTGCAAGACATGGACCCCACTTCGCTGTCAAGTGTCAACCATCCAGAACTGATCTTTCACATCGTCCAAGTGATGCTCAAACTCCAGAGATTGTTGTAAACAAGCAACCTGATAAAATTTATACAAAATGTGAGAACGAAGAACCAATCCCTGATGTGTATGTAGCATTCTAATTTAATCATTCTAACAGTTCATGTGGCTTTGTTTTCAAAGAATACAGTTCAGAGTTGAGAGTGCAGCCGGTGGTGTGTAAACTCGAAACTTATCTTGAAAGCATACAGGTCATTGTCTTTCCAAATTCTAGCCACCAGCGGATTTCAAGTACAGAAATTTAAGATAATATGCTGCTACTGAAACTAAGGGAAGAAAATGATAAATCTGTACTTGATATTTGCTTGCAAGCAAATTAAATGGCACTACATAAGAAAGAGTCAAATGCAATTAGTAGTGAATAAGCACAAAAAAAGGAAGGGGCAGTATTGGTATTTGGTAATAAAGTTATACTAATCTGCAGTCCATTGCTCATGTATTTAGAAAATGTAAAGATCCCATGTGTAGTTAGTCTACAGGTCTATAGTTTACACAAGAGCAGAAGAAACAGAGCTCATGAAATCTAACTAGTACAGATCATAGTAGTAGGGAGTATTCAGATGAATTTAGTAATGTGGGACATGTATATGCATTTGCTCAGAATTCAGTAATGTGGAACCTGTATATGCATTGGCTCAGAATTTAATTACAAGTTGAGAGCTGCACCTTTACTGAATGTTGATGTCGACCTGCTTGTTTCCCTACAAACTGTCAATCAGCACTCTTTGCAATTCTACAAATGGTTTGAGATTGCTGGTGTGGACAAAAACAGATGTCCATCATTCTATTATTCCTGACAACATGAGCTGCAATCCAATCCAACCCAAGTGTCAACCAGGAACCCAACCAAATGTTATCTAGCAGTCAGTGTGTGTTTAATAATATAAACACGATGAACCAGTTAGATATGGTTATTTACATGATCTATTCTTGATGCAAAGCATGCAAACATTGAGCATGTTCTTGTGCCGGATGGGCCTAACAAACAGCAAAATTCCAATGAGAACATGATGATGGTAATGAAGACCCGTGAATGAGCAATCAATAAGGAATAGTGGCTTCTTACCTTTGAGTCATAGAACTTGAGGTAGAAGTGCGACTTGGGTATGGACAGCTTTGACTCCAGGATAGAAGCAATGCCAGCACTCAGCTTCTTATTCACATCAGGGTTCAGGCCTCCAATGGAAACTAGCTCACCATAAGCTGCGGGCTCCTGGGTACCTCCAAATGCCATAGGCACCGAACCCTTGAGAACAACCATCACGTACTGTGGGAGGACAACCATTCCAGTTAGTTCCTCAAGATGATAGTACTAAAGAGAAATGGCTTCATCCAAATATAAGTCAAGAATAGAGAAACAATAAAAGCTAAAGTTCAATAATTTGAGCCTAGCACCACAGGTCAACAACCACGAAACAAATAATGTTAGTATATGAGAATGAGATTAGCATGGTCAGGTTATGAACACAATGTATTCACTATTCAGAGAGGTCATTTTTGTCCTTAATAGTAGCAAAGCAGCTGCTTGACTAACACTACATGGACTAAACGGCTAATAGAAGATGAAAAGCTGTGACCTCTAGTACGGGGCATAAAAAATTGGATACTAAACTACATAGCAAAGTAGCTGCATGAGTAACACTAACACGAAGTGACCGATCGACATGAACTTTCAAATTTCATCTATGTAAAATTGATGGCTGTAGTACTAGGGTAACATAAAGGAAAAGCACACGCAGCCCATGGTCCACATATTTAACAACACTTGAGATTAGTGCTGAAGAATGGTATACACTAGGGGGTTGCTGGTTGATAGAAATCTGGTCCAGAAAAACTGTGAGCACAGACTTTCATCAGTTAGTTTGCTGTAAATACATTTGTTAAATTGGAAGATGAATGGTTTGGCATTTCTTGTACTGAGTGACCACAATGGTCAGTATACCAGTCCCACATAGACACTGGGTGTGCAATCTGATACTTCGAGTTATCTAGTTATTTCCTCAATGCTGAAACTACTAAAATGAAAAAAATACAGTTTAATTATATATGAACTCAATTTAAGAATGTCCACGATATGCAGGAGATTCCAGTCCCAGGGATTCTAGGCTGTATCATGTGAATGTTAACGAAGTGTTCGAGTGAGAACCAACATCGGGGTGTTAATGCACCTAGAGGATATTCCCCCAAAATAAAAGCCAGGAGGAAAAAAATCCTTGTTGCAGACTTGCAGTATTTACCAAAGAGAAACATTGGGAGATTTACTGATTCACACAAATTCTCTTTAAACTAACATCAATAAACACAATTGATTGATTGACAGCGTACAGAAAGGTGTCATGCAGCTATGCACATCCTGCTCAAAACCCTAACAGATTGACAAGTGCCAGAACCCTTGAGAACAACCATCACTACTGTGGCAGGACAACCATTCCAGTTAGTTACTCATGATGATAGTACTCAAGAGAAATGGCTTCATCCAAATAAGTCAAGAACAGAGAAACAATAAAAGCTAAAGTTCAGTAATTTGAGCCTAGCACCACATATTACCCAACCAGGAATCCAAATGGTGTTAGTATGAGAATGAGATTAGCGTGGTCAGGTTATGAATACAATGTATCCAGAGAGGTCATTTTTGTCCCTGAAAGTAGCAAAGCAGCTGCCTGAATAATACTAAGTGGACTATACGGTTAACATAAGATGCAAAGCTGTGACCTCTAGTACAGGGCATAAAAGTTTGGGTACTGAACTAAATGGCAAAGCACCTGCCTGAGTAACAGTGTAACACTAACACGAAGTCACTGATAAACATGAACGTTCATATTTGATCTATGTAAATTTGATGGCCGTAGTACTAGGGTAACATAAAGGAAGAGCACATGCAGCTCATGGTCTTTATATTTAACAAGACTTGAGATTAGTGCTGAAGAATGGTATACTAGGGGTTGTTGGTTGATAGAAATCTGGTCCAGAAAAACTGTGGGCATAGAATTTCATCAGTTAGTTTGCTGTAAATACATCTATTAAATTGGTAGATGAATGATTTGGGATTTCATGTACCGAGTGATCACAATGGTCAGTATATCAGTCCCACATAGACACTGGGTGTGTAGTCTCATACTTTTGAGTTATTGTCTTCCTCAATGATGAAACTATTAAAATAAAAAAATACAGTATAATAATTATATATGAACTCAATTAAAGAATGTCCACGATATGCAGGAGATTGCAGTCCCATCCTAGGGAATATTAACAAAGTGTTAAAGTGAGTTCAGTGAGAATCGACATCCGGGCGTCCATAGTGCTCCTGGAGGATATTCCCCCCAAATAAAAGCCTATAGGTGAAAAATCCCCATTTCAGTATTTACCAAAGAGGCAAAGAGTAGAAATATTAGAAGATTTACTGATTTACACGAATTTTCTTTATACTAACATCAACAGACACGATCAATTGATTGATAACGTACAGAAAGGTGTCATGCAGCGATGCACATCTTGCTCTAAACCCTAATAGGTTGCCAAGTGTCAAGTGCCAATTTAAAAAAGAAGCATAATCTCCACCAACCAAATAGACCCACAATCTACAAGAGCCTACACAAGCAACAAGATAGAAGAGAACAAGAGGGGAACCAGAGGGGAAGGGGAAGGCGGAGGCTTATGGCCTCTGGCTTGCTGATGATGTTGGCAACGGACTTGGAGGCTTCGGCAAGGATGGCGGAGGTGTCCACCCCCTCCAGGTTCACGTTGGTCGACACGTTCAGGCACGACATCCTCGCTCGCTTCCTCTTCCTCTTCCTCCTCTCCGCAACTGCCTCCGGCTGGCCGCCTTCTCCTCCTCTGCTCTGCTCCGCTCACTGCCCTCTGAGTCTCTGGTCTGTGCTGCTCCTCTCCCTCTCTATCCTGCTACTGCTACACACAAAAGGAATCTCCTCTGCTCTGCCTGAGCTAATAATAGGCTGTTTGGGCCTGTGAGCGGGAAAGGAAACCCTAACCTGATCTCGAGCGCTTGGCTGAGGCAGTCTACAGCTTCGACGAAGTCCTCGTCCTCGATGGCCTTGGCGCCCCTATCAAAGAGCTCCTGCGCCCGCTCTAGGGTTTGCGGCTCCTCCGCCTCGCCGGGCGCCGCCGCCTCGGTAGGCTCCGGGTTCGGCGTTGGCGGGGCCTGGGGCTGCTCCTCCTCCAGCGGCGCGCCCGTGTTCTCTGACGAGGAGGCCATGGGCGGCGTGCTGCGCGGCCGCGGCTGGGTTCCCCTTCTAGGCGCGGGGAGCTGCGGGTGGAAGGGGAGGGGGAGGAAATGGGGAAATTTTGGGGGAACGGAGCGCGAACTCACGGGGGGTATGCAGGGGTTGCCGCCAATGGGATTCCAGGTTGGGCCGTATGGGCTTGTTGCGGCTGTGAGTGTGGGCCGTGATGGGCTATTTGTCTTGATCCATATTGTGGGGCGCGCGAGCTCAGCGTGGAGCCCATTTTCTTTAGCGACAGACAGATTGACGGTACACTTAGCTTTAGCGACAGATGGTTCAACGCTAAATATGAATACCTATAGCGTCAGACACTAAATCGCTAAATGAGGATTTAGCGTCAGATGATCTCTGAGTTATCTTTAGTGTCAGATCATCCATCGCCAAATATAATTTTTAGCGTTAGATGTCTGATGTTGTGGTGTAGTGATCATGGACAACAGAGATTTTTTTCCCCTCTAGTCATGCATACATCTACGTACACTGAGCACCGCTATTGTACATGCATCATCTAATTAACGCTAGCTGGTCCTCTTGTATCTGTTTGGTCAACTTGAATTTTTCAATCCTCCTCCTTGCTATCGCATGGAGGCCGCAACAAACACGAGAATAGGCAGCCGAAGACCTGGTCCCTGATCGCTCCACACAAGCGCCCTACGGCTCTGCCTGCTGCTCGGCCGCTCGCTGACGGCTGCTGTCCTAGGTCGACGTCCACGAACTCACCCTCCTCGCGGCAGGCAGCGGTTGTGACATCGATCTCGCTCGTTGAGGACGATCGAAGAGTAACAACAGCCTGTATTATTTATTAGCGCGTATATAGCTCGATCTATAATTTGCGAGTACGTACGGACGTCGAAGGCTGCAGCTACCTGCCTGATTTGTTGATTATAAATTATTATATAAGATGGCCATATATATAAAGACATGCATCGTAGTCGTAGGGGCCGGGGCGCACGTACGTACGACTCCGATCGCGACAAGCTGCCGGATTACGAAGCGGAGAACGTACGTACGTGACAGAAATTATAATACGCACCACGGGACAGATATACAAATTAAGTCGGCGCCTTATTATTATTATCATCATCATCTTGTGAGTTCCTAGTGGATATGATTTCGACATGTGGCGGATCGGATGGGAGGGCCTCGACGATCTCTTCTCTGCTCCCCACTCAAACGGCGACGGAAGCCTTGTTCGACGAGCGAGCGAACTGAAGCCCCACCCGAGGCCAAGACCACGCGCTGCGCTGCCAGCGAAAACGCAACCCCGGCCGGCCAGTCCCCGGTACGGTTGACGCGGTTCGGTACGAACAAGCAGTATACAGTAATTAATTCAGGCCTCAAAGCAGTATACGGTTGACGCGGTTCGGTACGAACAAGCAGGGAGGAGAATAAATAGACTAGGGGATCGGACATGATTAGCCTGATGCATGGTGACAGGGATCCATAACGTAATATATGTGATGTGAGTCAGCATTACCCAGAGATGCAGCAGTTTCTTTTCATTAGAATATGTTAACAATACGGAGAACTGCTCCGGTACTGCTCCTCCTAAAAGTTGCAAAACATTTTCTGTACCTGGATCATGTTTAGGCCCAGCCCATCCAACCCAGTCCTCAGTCCATACCTCTACCCAAACCTAAAGTGTCGGGTCTCCCATCCCCTCTGTTCTGTACTGCTCCGCTTACTTGGACCCATTCAAGGAGACGGCGCCGCTGTGCCGATTATTCCGGAGCAGCAGCAACCGGCGAACCGAGTGAAAGGCGGCACCTACATCCTCCTCCAACCCCGTTTCGTCGTGTGCTAGTAGCCGGCAAGGGGCTCCGAAGGCGCCGTTCGATTTGGCGTGAGGAGGTCCGATGCCTCCATCCACGTCGTCCTTGACCGGGGTCCGTCCTCTAACTGGCGGCGCCTGAGAGTTTAGGCTTCCAAAACTACATTTGCCTTTTTGGTCTCCGCTTAAACATTATATTAAATATTAACACTTAATCGAATCTCTAATAGTGTCAGCTTACACTTATTCGGTTCG